AGTTCTATCAACATGAAGAGGGGCTACAAGGGAGCTTTGAGATAGACTTAACCGGGCTAGTTGAAATGGAGACAGACATCGAAAGGGTTGTGGACGAGGACTCTGGAGATGAGGTGGAAAATCCAAAGGACATAGTGTTCCTTGACCGATTACACTTAGGTGTTGATAGTGATGATGAGGAGGCAGATGAAGATTTGGACATGGTTGATAGCGATGACGATATGTACAATCCAACTAATCCCGATCGTGGAGATCATTTCTAATACATGTAATATTATCTATTTTTGTAATTATATTCATTTTGCATGTAATTATCTTCATTTTGCATCTCTTTCTAATTATGTATCGTTTATATATGCTAATTGTTTTGTTCTTTTTTAATGTAGGAGATGCCACCCAGGAGGTCCGTCTAGTCTCTTTACGCCAGCCAGGAGGAGCCGGAGGCGTCGGTTCAGCCTCCAGAGCCGGTGCCGAGGCGGAGGAGCCGCAGGCGTCCGAGCAGGACGCATCCGACTACCCCTCCGGCCGTGGAGGAGCCTGCCGCCGTGATGGAGCATGCGGATGCAGGGGGGTCCTCCTCCACCTCAGGGGACGAGGCGACTGCAGGGGATGAGGCGACTGCAGGGGGATCCACTTCCTCTGGTGTGTCGACGGTGTACTTGCGTGGTCCCGCGAAGCTCCCGCATCGACCAATACCTGAAGCGGCCAGCCCGCTGATCACACCCTATGGGGATAGGTAAGTAACTTAAGATGTGCTCAAAACTTCTTCATTTGAAATGTTGAAAATCAAAATACAAACTAATACTTTTTGTAATCACTTGTGCAGGAACTGGAAACTTGTGGAGACTGGAGCCAAGGCACGCAAAGTGAATGGCATCCTAGGAGGTATGTGCAGGGAGCACTACCCTGGCCTGGTGGAGGTGAGCCCGGACATGTTCGAGCCAGCCACTCAGTTTGACCACTACGAATTGGCCGCCGATGCCATGGATCGTAGTGGCCACAGATACAGGAACAAGGCGGAGCGAGTCGTCAGGGACCTGTCGGTAAGTCTTTTAGGCACACATTGTATTCTTTTAGCCACATATACATCGTATTCATTGGACATTCTTCTAATAAGTAATTGATACCTCGCGCCTTTATGCAGTATTTCTTTAGAATCGAGGAGGGCAAGGAGCACAGGGCGTACCAGGTGGCGGTCGCTTCTTGTAAGAAGCACGTCACGGACATGATTCACGACGCGCGTCATCAGGCGCACATTTGGCACTACGCGAAGGTCAAAGGGCGTAGCATCAAAAAGGACGAGGCAAGACAGGTGGTGTTGACCAAGGAGGAGTACCTTGCGGTAAATACGGAACATTACTATTGATTTCTTCTGAGATTAAGTTTCCTTAATTTGATCTTCTGATATATCGTTTGCTTGATGGCCTGTAGGCGATTCCAAACTGGTGCAATCGGCATCCGGATGCTTGGGAGAGGATTGTGGACATGTGGCTCAGCCAGGACTAGAAGAAGGAGCATGATGAAGCACGTGAGCGCCGTTTGCTGATGCAAGGAGTACCACACCATCAAGGCAGCCGCAACCTCTCCAAATTCTCAGAAGCTTGGGTAAGGCGAAACCATTTCTCTAACCTAACACTCAATTCTGCAACAACTCTAACAATGTTATTGTCTTTCTCATAGTCGGCGTCACATGGTGGCCGCCCTTGTGGTCACCTCAAGGCATATGCCTTGTCCCACTTGGGCAAGGCGACGGCCGCCACCGACTGGACCCCGGAAGTCCATGCTGAGTCGTTCACCAACGCCAGCATTGCCCCTCGCATCTCTACGTACACAGAGATGGCAAGGTCAGTCCACGGGCCAGACTATGACCCGTCCACCAAGGAACGGCTTGATCCAGAGCTCGTGATGAGGGTGGGGCAAGGCAAGAAGCACGGGCGGTTCTGGCTTGGTGACGGTGTCCTCGACACGACCTCTGTTCCTCCACCGCACCAGATCCGAGCTGCGAGCATGAGCTCAATGCCGGCCATACGCCAGCACCCGACCGTGGTGTCGACACTCCAGGTAAGTGTTCTTTCCATTCCTAGTTCTTTGACTTTTACATACCTTAGCTCCGCAATCTTGAAACATTGGCGCCAAATGTTGCGGTAGCACGATTCTGCAAGGCGATGGAGGCCGAAAGGAGCAAGAATGGCAGAGGTCGGCAGCTTTGGAGGCCGAAAGGGAGCTTGAGCGACAGAGGCCGGCAGCTTTAGAGGCCAAGCAGGAGCAGGATCGATGGCGATGGCGAGGTGCTCTCCCACGTGCGGGTCTTGCGATGACCCAAGGTGGAACGGTCCCACGTTCTGCTCTTCATCAGCAGGCTACACCTCCACCTCACTTGATTCTACTCCGTGAGTATGACAAATGTTTTAGTTTCTCTAAATGTCAAACCTAGTGAAACCTAGTAAAACCTAGTGAAACCTAGTGCTAGTGGTGATGGTGGTGGGTGGTGGTGGCGGCGTGGTTGGTGGTGGTGGTGGCGTGGTCGTGGTGGTGGCACTGCTGGTGGAGGTGGCGGGCGTGGTGGTGTGGTTGTTGTTGGTGGTAGTAGTGGTGTGGTTGTGGTGGCGTGGTGGTGGTGGTGGTGTGGCGTGGTGGTGGTGGTGGTGGTGGCGTGGTGGTGTGCTTGTTGGTGGTGGTAGTAGTAGTGTGGTGGTGGCGTGGTGGTGTGGTCGTGGTGGTGGTGTCGCGTGGTTGGTGGTGGTGGTGGTGGTGTGGTCGTGGTGGTAAAAAGTACATGTAGTGCTTGGTTATCTATTTATGTTGTCTAACACGTTCTGCATCTTCTTTGTTTGTGTAGCGTCAGTCGGCGGCGTCGAACGACCCTAACCTTCTCCTCGTCAACTCCCTAGGATCGCACGCGGCGCCTTCTCAGCCTGGACCGTCGCCGTGACCAGTTTGGCGCCTCCTATGCCTCTTGTTTATGTTGCTTGTCGAACTTTACACTTGTGGTTGTCTATGTGTCGAGATTTGTTTGTGACTTCGAACTTCGAGACTTCTATGTGATGTGGATGTGAATTATGTGATGTGGATGTGGTTATTGATATATGGATGTGCTTATTGTGATGTGGATGTCATATATATGTCATATATATGTTTATTTGTTGACTGGAAATGCAAAAAACAAAAAAAAAATTAAAACTGGCTGTGGCTTTGCCGAGGGCTATAGTCATGCCCTCGTCAAAGCTGGGAATTCTGGAACACACACAATCCCAGCTTTGCCGAGCGTATGACCATAGCGCTCGGCAAAGAGGAAGCCTTTGCCGAGAGCTGAGCCATAGCTCTCGGCAAAAAAATGTCTAAAAAAATTGTCAATATTATTTGCCGAGAGCTCTTCTGACAGACGCTCGACAAAGTTTTTTGGAAAAAAAAATTCAGAAATTCTTTGTCGAGAGCTTGCTAAGGCTCTCGGCAAAGATCAACTTTACCGTGATCTCTCGCCGTCACGGCGAAAATTTTTGCCGACGGCCGGCTAACCCTCGGCAAATCCTTTGCCGAGAGCCCGAGATGCGGCTCTCGGCAAAGTAGCCTTTGCCGTAAGGTACTGTGCCGACCGGCCTTTGCCGAGAGCAACTCTCGGCAAAGCCTTTGCCGAGGGAAAGGCTTCTTTGCCGAGCGTATCCGGCCCTCGGCAAAGAACCTCGTTCCAGTTGTGAAGGATAACCAATACTGTGTTGAGTCTGCTGCTGATCGTTGGGCACCAAGTATCTGTGTCTCACGCCACCATTCACTGAAAGATCTTCATGTTCACGCCACTCAACAAGTATGCATATACATGTCTGAGGTGTTACTGCACTACCTCATGATGTTGTATATATATTGGTTGCGAAGTGGGTAGCTCAACAATGTGCAGTCCAGCATCTGCCAGGAATGGCGAGCATGCCAAAGGAAAAAATGTGCTTGTTGAAACATGCAATCAAGCACGAGGACTTTGGGAAAGTGAGTGGACGATGGATGAAAAATCTAAACGGAAGGAACTAAGCGTCTCCTACATCGACACAACCATGCATTCTTAAGTCGTATACATCCACTATACCAGAGCCTATCTACAGCGTCCTACGGTACGGTAGGTCGCTATAAGTCAGTACAGCGACCTACGGTCGGTCACTATATACATATAGCGTCCGACTTGACGCGTGGGTATAAGTGGCGTCGCTATAAGTTATAGCGTCCGACCTTAATTATAGCGACTGACCGTTCGACGGTACGTTAAAGATATACCGACCGACTGTTCGACGCCAAGTACATACTTATAGCGACTATTGGTCAGACGCTATATATTATATAGCGTCCAACTATCTGACACTATCAATACAAAAAATTAACAGCATAATTATTCATTAACCTCAGTATCAGTACTAAGCATACAATCAATGAACCATATATAAAATCATCAATTCCATTTTGGACAATATACACAATTATGACAATGAAGCTCATCATAGATGTTTGCACTAGTTGCACAGTTTACATCTCATGGTTTGCTCGCACTCATTACAATTCATCACTTAAACAAAAGCATTCATCTCTAGTTAGAATGTCCAAAAGCATTCATATCTAGTTAGAATGTCCAAAATAATGCATTGGCCATGCGAAATTCTATCCAATTGCTTCCTGCATGCATCAGGCCCCCCTAGCCATTACCTCCCACCTACAAATAAAAGATATAATAAACTGATAGTTCCAATCCAAATAGCAGCTGAGATGTAATTCGGCTAAGTAACATGCTTTTGATTTGGCTACCTAAATAGTGTGTAGATTTCAGTATTAGTACTACAAATATTCGAAAACTGACCACAATTTTTTCTTGACCATACCAAGCTGGTGCTACTTGCATTCATAGCTCTCCTGGTGGATTGAGTGGGCTGCTGGGATGGGGCTGCTCTTATGGTGGATTGTGTGGGCTGCTGGGATGGGGCTGCTCTCATGGTGGATTGATGGGGCTGCTGGGATGGGGCTGCTCATATGGTGGATTGAGGAGGCTGTTGGGATGGGGGTGCTCTCATGGTGGATTGAGGGGGCTGCTGGGATGGGGCTGCTGCTATCCTTCGCATAGTCGTGTATTCACACTCATTAGATTGTTCTGCATATGCATTATCATCTTCATGAAATTCAGCATCAAAATCTATCCCAACACCATCATTTTCAGACTTTGGGCTCTAGAAACATGCAAGATGGATTATAGAAACATGCAAGATCAGATTTCTATGCAATAAAGATCAGATTTATGTGACACGTGATAGCCATGAATTAGAGAAGGTGTAAGTGATTTACCACGTGATGTCGTGAATTAGAGCCATTCTGTGAGATGTTTTCCATGTTTGCCCTTTCATGCTCTAACCTTTCCTCCAACAGTTGTTGTTCTAGCTCCATTATGCGTTGTCGTAGAACTTCTTGCTCAGCTTCTGCATCTCTACGGGCTACTTCTGCATCTCTACGGGCCATCACTTCCACTTGAATCTTTGTTGGTATGTAAGACTTCACCCCTGGGGTACCAACACTTTGGGGAGTTGGACCTAGACAAGTTACTAAATGCAAAAACTAAGAAACGTTCCACTCCCTGCAAATATGCTATTTCGTGCCTAGATGAAACTTTTGTGTTAAAAGCCATTTTATATAGCTACATATAGCGCTTTCACTATTTATGAAGCTACTATTTTTACCTAGCATCATCATCAATCCAAGACTTATCCATCGTTCGTTGCGAGGGGGAGAACAAGCTGTCAAAAATTATATAATCCATCTATGAATCTTGGGGCACCACAATTAATGGTTTTAAAAAAAAAGCACACATGCATGCCAGAGAGGGAGAGAGAGCATCACCTAGTCCTCTTGCTTTAGATCCACACAAACACGATGATTTCTTCTGGAGGACACCGGATCTTGACTAATTCCAATAGGACGACACCTCAAGCAGGACACCGGATCTTGACTCCTGGTTTCAGCAGAACGACAACTCCCAGGTCTTACTCCTGTCTTCAGGACAATAATACCTCACAGCTCCTACTACCTCCTGAAATCGAGAAGTGCCAACTATTACAAAAAGGGACTCCAAAGCATCATACATTCCATCAACACAATAACGAAAAAATATTCTCAGACACGGAATTCTCTGAATCTTGAGCTACAGAGATAAAAAATGAACCCAAGAGAATAAGGTCATCGACTTACTGATACCTGGTGAAGCTCGTATCTCAGGATGTGGGCTTGGGGAAGGAGTCAGGATGTGGGCTTGGGCAAGGAGTCACGAAGAAGGTTGCCCGTTCAGTAGGCACGCTCACGCCGGGGGCACCTTGCTGGCCGGGCGCACAACAGATGACGAAGGGGCCGCACCGGTGGGGCGCGCCGTGGACGCCGGGCGTGGTGCCGGTGGGAGGCTAGGGGCTCGCGCCGGGGGCACCTTGCTGGCCGGGCGCTGCGCGGATGACGAAGGGGCCCTGCCAGTGGAGCGCGCCGCGGACGCCGGGCGTGGGGCTGGTGGGGGGTTGGGGGCCGCGCCGGGGGCGCCAGGGACCCGCTGGGTTGCCGCGCTGGGGTGGCGGGGGGTTGGGGCGGGGGCCGCGCCCGGGGCGCCGCCTGGGTTGCCGCGCTGGGGCGGCGGGGCTTCGGTGGTTGGCGGGGGTGGGGGGCGCCGCGCACTGGGGCGGCGGGGGCGATGGGAAGGGGGCCGCGCCCGGAGCACCGGGGCTTCGGTGGTTGCGGGGCGGGTGGCCGGGGCGCCGGCGGTCTCTTCCTTTCTCTCGATTGGGAGCGTGGGTGTGGCTTCGGGAGTGTGGGGTGGCGGCTGGCAAGGGGAAATTGGAGACGGACTAGGGGTTTTCCAAATACAGTCTGCTATGAGTCAAAAAAAAGTCCAGGTGGGATCCACTAAATTTTAGGCGGCAACTGAGGTAGAGAGCGCCAACTCTGTGCCGCCCATCTGCGCGCGCGCCAATCTAGTATACCGACCGACCTACTGACCCAAACAAAAAGATATACCGACTGACCGATTGACGGTATACAAAAACAACAATACTGTCCGACCGTCAGACGAAAAAATAAGATATTGCGACCAACCGTTGGTCACTAACTTATAGCGACAGACCGTCCAACGGCATTTCGTTATTTTTAGCGACCCTAAGTCGGACGCCAGTTTGGGCTGTGGTATAGTGATCATTCTCAATATCAGACATATATAACACCAGATTATAATAGCATGGAGCAACCATGCATTCTTAAGTCGTATACATCATTCTCAATATCAGACATATATAACACCAGATTATAATAGCATGGAGCAAAATTATATTGATTTCAATATCATCATTCTCTTAACATCACACAAGGTTTGCACAAACTAACAAAGTAAACAGCTACAACGCATTCTCAACATCAGTCATATTGTGCCCAAACCTCAATAATACTGGCAAGAATTTCAAGGTCTGCACAAACTGACAGAGTAAGCATGACAAACAACTGTTGACACGGCAGATACATGTACACAGTGCCATAAGCTAAAATATTTATTTGGGCACAACCCCACAAGCATGCCTTATTGTACATTAATGAAAAGATGGTGGAAAATGGGAACATACAACAGCTATGATAGCAACTTAGACAAGCTATAAAGAGCAGCAATTCATCATGACAATACTACACCATGTCTCCCTCGTATCAACTCAACAGACTTCCTGTGTACACACCAACTGAATCAAGATGATGTCTTATATTGACCCTTGTGAAAGTGTTGGTTGCTGGATCACAGATGAACAATAGTCCAGTCGGTGCTAGATGAATGACCAACCTACCATCATCTAACTCCAACAACGGTATTAGATGGTATCCGGCTGCCAAGCTTGAGGTTACTGATTCAATGCGAATGCTGTACTGTTTCACCCAGAGCCTACTCTCAAAGTCCAGTAGAAACCATAGGTCCATGACCGACAGGCTGCGAGGGTGGTGCGCTAGAACTAGAGAGCCTTTCAGATCAGCTAGAGTAAGCTCACTCCTCACCATCTGCCCAGATGTAAGGTTGCCAGTACTTGAAGGCCCATGAAGAACTCTCCTCCACTCCTCTCCCGCAAGATCGAATGAAAGGATGTAGTCTGCAGGCGTATTATATCTCTCTGTTGGAAGGATGTAGTCTGCGCTCATCAAGAAACATGCCACCCCATCAACTACAGCACCACTGCGCACATAGGGAGGGGAGGACCCTGCCTTGGTCTCCACTGTGCATTGTCGGTAGCTCCATTCACTACGGGATACTGTTAATTTACCGAGTGTGAGTAACACTCGGCAAATAGTGATACACACTCGGCAAACTCTTTACCGAGTGCCACACTCGGTAAAGTGGACTCGGTAAACACCGACTCGGTGAAGTTATTTTACCGAGTGTCCAATATCGACGCACTCGGAGCATCGAGTTACCGAGTGCTACAATGACACTCGGTAAACAATTATGATTTGACGGTCGTCACCCTCCAAACTGACCGTTAACGGCGACTTTTACCGAGTGTCATTATCAGCACTCGGTAAATAAATTAGCATTTCGTGATTAAAACAATTCCGCAAATAAATTTTTTGAATAATGTTTACCGAGTGTAGATTCTAACACTCGGTAAAATAATAACCATTTTCGTGATTAAAACAATTCCGCAAATAAATTTTTTGAATAATGTTTACCGAGTGTAGATTCTAACACTCGGTAAAATAATAACCATTTTCGTGATTAAAACAATTCCGCAAATAAACTTCAGGAATAATGTTTACCGAGTGTTCCCACTCGGTAAAAAGTAGTCAAATATTTCCGAGTGGGGACGCCGCACTCGGTAAAAAATGGCACACTCGGCAAAATTCACAGAATCAGAACCAATTTGGTTCGTTATTGCTTTACCGAAAGTGCTACACTCGCAAAAAACCGACAGAATCTCTGCTTTACCGAAAAGCTACACTCGCAAAAATATGTCCACGTAATTTTTTTTGTTTGTTTCAAAGCATATCCAGTCACAATAAGCAACAAAATCACAGTAATTATAATAACATGACAGATAGGCAATATATATCATATATATGTCCACAAATGTCACATCCACTCACAATAACCAACATATGTCGACAAGCACCATGCAAAGTCCACAAACACCATCAACATATGTCCAAAGTTCAACCAAGTCCAACCAAGTCCACAGTTCAACATACAAAACTATCAAACAAGGTCGGATGGCTCATGTCACATGGTCGGAGGCTCATGGAGAAACGGAGTCAAGTCCGTGTCTTGATCACCACAAGATATATCGTTGTTCGATCCAAATTGTAGAAGGTCCCTAGAATGAGATTGCACATGTGAGTTATCTGGATCAAAGCAAATTCTAAGGTCTAAGCTATGGTAGGTCAAACTAAGGTATAAGTCGAAGGTAGCTCTATATGACACGAAAGTGAAGAGTGCATCTAAGTGACTCACAGGAGTGCCGTCGCGCGGAGGTGGAGGCACCAACGGTATCATCGGCGGCGGCGGAGGCGGTGGAGGCTGGCCCATGCTCTGAGAAAAACGGGCCATGTACTCGTACCAGTCCTTGTGCGCCTGCTGGAAGGCCTCAAGTTGGGCCTGCACTCGCGCCCTCTCCTGTGCCAACTCGGCCTGGTGCGACACTGAGGGCCCAAAGTCGGCTCTCAGGAGGCCTGGCCGTGACTCTGTGAGGGCTTCAATCTGGGCCTACAATTATTTATCACATAGTTAGAATGCAAATAAAGAACAAGTAGAAAATGAATGGACAACGAATGCAACAGAACTAACCTAGAGTGCTACCACCTGGGGCTGTGAGCGTGGGCGTATGGCCGGACTCGAACTCGTGCTCCGGGCTCTAATCTGGGCGAGTGTCTGAGTGTTGGCCGTGTCTATGGTGCTGTTGCCCATATAGTACCGCCCGTGTGGCTTACCTGGTCCCAACCTCATGACGATGTCACCCTCAAGGTCAGCGGTGCTCGGATCAAATTCTGAACCATGGATCTCTCTCGCCATCGCCGTGTACTCGCTGAGGCGCCTGTGCACGCTCGGGTTGCTGTATGCCTCGGGCGAGTCCTCCGGGTTGTAGACGAGGTCGGGGTCCTTTGCCTTGCCTTTGTGTGCCAAGGCATATGCCTTGAACGAGGCGCACTCCTGGCCGGGGTGGAACCGCGTCTGCAGGAAGAAGCACAACAATAAGATATTGGTCCCGTTCGCTTGTCTTAAAAATGGCTTGTTTGGCTTCTTTTTTCAGCCGGAACAGTGTTTTTCTCTCACAACAATTCAGCCGGAACAGTATTTTTCAGCCAAGTTTCAGACCAGCGAACGGGGCCATTATGCATTCAGAAGTTAGCATAGCAACAACGAAATGAAATCCGCGTACATATCTGGCTGCATATTCCTTGAGGGTAGTGGGGCCTTGTTTGTGCGAGGAACCCTGCATCATCGCACGGCAACGTGAGCGTCATGACGTGATATTGCTCGTACTCCTCACTCAACCACTTGTCCACAATGGCCTCCCAAAGATTGTCCATCCCCGCACACCAAGCAGGAGAGGCACCCACACGACGCACACGAGCACATGACAAATCATAAATCAATTTCAGTGCAATTAATCGCAGACGATGTAATCTCATGTTTATCGTCAAGTATTGCTCCTTAGTCAGGGGCAGGTGCACTGCCTGCGCTCTGGTGACTCTGTGTCCTCTGCGCCATGGTAAATTCTTCCGCACAGGAGCTTTGTCTCGTAGAAGAGGTCTCAGACTCGGTGAACACAGACTCTGCTCACCACGCCATCTCGGCGTCCTCCTCCTACCTACTCCCTCCGCCAAGGTGTAGTAATCCTACAAGCAAATACAACAAGAATATACAATTAATGTGATGTTATTATCAGCATAGTGCGATGAACACGCACCCACAGCTCTTTCATCACCCGGTCGGCCTTGTTGTTATAATACACCGCCACCGACGACCGATCGATCAAGGCGGCGTGCTGCTGGGACCACTTCATGGCGGGCTGCACAACACCATCGATCCTCACCATCCCGGGTAGTTTGCCTGCACGAAGACCTAGGATCCCGTTTACTCGGCGAGAGTGACTCCACTGGATCACCATTTCCCAATCCTCCACAAAGTTATTGAGATTGAATATTAGTTTCATTATAACTTAAAAACCATGAAGTAGTGTTAACATGCAAAAATTACTTAGTTCCGAGGGTCAATCACCGGCCGCCTCAGTGTGGGTAGAAAGTCTGGGAGGCGCGACGACCCTCGCAAGCCAAAACCAGAGGCACCCCATTTTCCTCTGCCAGCAAGTCGGCATCCTCCTCACGCCGGCCTCATCCTCCTTCCCGCCTCCTCCACCGCCTCCGCTATCTCCTCCCTGGTCTCCCTCCTCCCGTGGCCGCTACGAACTCGTCGTGTCGTCCCTGTGGAGGAGGTGTCGGCTCTCGGACGCCTCGTGCGTCGCCGTCCTCTCCTCCTCCACCTCGGCTCCTCCTCCACCTCGGCTCCACCACCACCTGGGCTCCACCTCCTGGCACGCCCTCATCGTCGTCCTCCTCCTCCTCCCTGGGCACGCCCTCCACCCTCAGTCCGTGCACGCCCTCCTCCTCCACCCTGGCTGGACCCCTCGCCACCAGCCAGTAAGGTCATAACCGACCTAATCTTCCTGATTCCACCGCCCACCATCAATCACCTGCAACATAAGGAATAAACTATCAGTACGCATATACAAAAGTAAATGTATCATACATGTATAAAAGAGATGCAAAATAAGTAAATGTATCATACATGTATAAAAGAGATGCAAAATAAGTAAATGTATCATACATGTATAAAAGAGATGTAAAATAAGTAAATGTATCATACATGTATAAAATTGCCATAAGTACTACAGATCTTACATGTACTAGAAATAATCATCAAGATCATCGATAGGTGGGCCAAAAATCTCATCATCGCTATTGTCGACATAATTATGATCGCCTCTCAAAGTCTCATCACTAGCGACCTTTCGCTTTGAATGGTGTTGCTCAAGTAATAACAAGTCCTTCGCGTTGTGAACCTCCTCTCCATCATTCCCGTCAACAATGACCGTATCATTGTCTACTTCCATTGCGAGATCTACATCTAAGACAATCTCAAAACTCCCTTCTAATCCTTCTTCTTGAAAGAACTCTCCGTCATATGTGTTTGCATCGATGTTATAATCATCATCGTTTGGGACGGGTACTTTACCATGCGGCGATACCTTGTACACAACATCATACGCCTTAAGACGGTCTTTGGTTTGGCACGGGTATGAGAGATAATAAACTTGCGTGGCCTGTTGGGCCACAATGTACACGTCGTCTCCTAGCAAGACGGATGACTTTAGAACTTCGACTAACCCAAGCTCAGGGGTCTTTATCACTTCTTTGGGATCAAACCAATGGCATTTGAATATGACAGGACGAAGAGGTACACAACCAGGAAACTTGAGTTTGTATATTTCTTCAATTATTCCATAGTAGTCCAACCCATCTGTGCCTAGCGTGAAAACACCGGTATTTGTGGTTCTTCGATTCGGCGACTCGCTTTCCGTGAAGTTGTGTGAAAGCGATATCCATTGACATCGTACACAGAGAATGACTTGACCCTAAATTCAAATCCATTGGCAACTTGCCTCAACTCGGCACTCATAGACACGTCAGTTTTGGCCTGCTAGTTCAAGTAGGATGATTCGTTATATATTTGTCGAGTTGAGAGTTAAGTACAAACAACCAATGAAATTGAACAGTACCTCCTCCTTGAACCAACAAATAAAAGTGGGATTTCGTTCTCCCACGCCATGTCTTAGAAGGGTTTCAACTTCCGCTTCGGTGGGTTCCCTCCGTGATGGACGATGGTAGAGGAGAACAAATTTGCTGTAACGGCCGTTAACAAGAGGGTTGGATGGGTGCATGCGAAATATTGACAAGAAAAGAAACAAGTTTGTGTAAAACTTACGCAATGTACGGGCCAACCTCTTCAAGGTTCCGCAACACATATAGCTGGATAGAGCGCCACTCTTCTAGGCTCAACATCTTCAAGGTAGGTTCACTTGCACTTCCGAGTTGCCCTCGGAAAAGGCTGAGGGTCGACTGATTGTCGGCAGCATTGTAACGAGGGG